CTCACGCTCCGATTTATAAAATTTAATAACAATTTTCAAATTAATTATTATAATCCTTTTCTTAAATTTTCACTTTCCTTACACAGGTTAGCCTTATAGGTTAACTCGAGAGGTGAGCTAAAGTCTCGATTTCATAAAATTTCGAAGCTCGATATTAATTAATACATCAAATTTAATGTAACGTAGCCGTGTTCGAGGTATCGAAATCAAATAATTCTACAATTCTATTGATACAAAATTCTTGATTTATTACTCAAAAAAGTATCGTCAGTTTTTTAGTGCAGAATCTTTGGTTTTCTACTCTTCTCTAGCCAAAAAATTAAAAGGAATCGTTCGAATGATCGATAATTCCCGCCTGAATCCTGAAGGCGCGATGTCCTAAACCGACGAGCTTTTTCTATCTCGTAATCAACCGTCTGGCAAATCACGAGCAACGGACTGCTTAGCATACAATCAACAATCAACGGAGTACATGGTACACCGTGAATTTTCACGCGCGTTCGCCGCACCGTTCCGTTACTCACGCGAGTAGCTCGCGAGCGGCACGCACGCCGACCAGCGTTAATCGTATGCATATGAACGGAGCGTGTTTCAATTAAATTGCACGTTTCATCGGCGACGCTCTCCTCGCGGGCGTCCGTGAACATGCACACCGGTGTCACGCAAGTGTCGTACGCAGCTGCGACACGCGCCGCTTATAACGCGCGCTACGCGAGATACCGTAAACCGTAAGACGCTTCCAGAGTTCCTTCCGAACAACCCTAATCGCCTCGGGATTGGCACGTGCCGAGATATTCCTGCAGGAAAATTTGAATTCTCCGAATATCGGGAATTTTTTGGTAAACGGATAATTTATTTATTTATTTTACACGCAAATTTCTGTATTTTTGCATATTCTCATTTGCGAAAATGAAATCGAATGAGAATTTTAGTATTATCACGTTGAAACTATTTGTTTAAGTATAAGGAAGATTGGTATGTGAGGATATTTCTAGAGAACGTGCTGCCGCCCCGCGGTAGGGATTTAGGGAAAGAAAGTACCAGCTAAGGCGGGAATTTTAAATAGCTCGAAACAATCTTTAGCAATTTTAAGAAAAATACTAAACGAATTATCGTGATAATTAATAATAATGATTTTAAATTTAAAATAAGCCTATTATAGGAAAAAGGAAATCTCGTTTCCTTAATTTTTCCGGAGAAAGAATAATATATGTATATATAATGATTGGAATAATCTATGGAATTACTATAGCCATTTCAATTTGTATAAGCTTTTGATTAGCAATTTTAACACTAATTTTAATAGACATTTTCCACTAATATCCTGGTGAGCTAATAATTTTACATAACTAAAGGGATCATAACCTATTGAATTGCTATAGCCATTCCAATCTCTTCACTTCCTTACCGGTTCCCTACAAAATTTTAAACGTCAATCGCGAAGCACCACAATTATGCAACACCATTAAAATTTTCCAAGCACACAGGCTTTCTAAAAATTATAAAACCTTTGTTCATCTGTATCTTTTCTGTATCGCGTGCAATTTTATGTTTACACAGTTATGTACATAGAGGGCTCCCAGTCCGTTTGCAAATAAAGAAATAAATTTGTATAGATTTTTATCGTATTAACATTTTCGACTAATATCGTGGCGAGCCAATAATTTTACCTGAATTACAAAAAGGAAGATTATCATTGAGAAGATCAGATATTGCCGAGTACCATAACACTGCTGATCCATATACCCTCATCTGACCCACTTAAGTTCCTCCACTCGAGTACCCCCGGAATGGTCGAAAATACCGAAAAACGTTCAAGACGAAACTTAAACGATTTTAGAAGAACGTCATACAAATGTGCTGCGGAATAAATTACTCGAATGAGCTCGAAGACACGGATCACGTGTTTAAAGGAAACTTGAAACATCGAGAATCGTTAGCGAGGCCAATCGAACCGAACGGCCACGGACGAAGAACTCTCCGGGTACTTGGCAACCTTCCGAAGCAGCAGAACTTCTGCTGGGAAATCCTGACAACTGGAGCTCTGGAGGAACGGATCTCACGCTGATCCAGCCAAAGCTGCGAGCACGGGGGTACACAAATTTTTCGGGAGTGGTAGTACAAGTTCGACAAAGTATCGAACAATGGCCCTCTCAATCTTCGTCATATCCCGGTCTGCCGACAAAGCTGCCGAATCGGAGGCCAAGTCCACTCGACTCGGTCGATCGATCAAACGAGCAGAAAGCAACGAAACTTCGCTCATCAGCACGGGGTAAACTTGAAGCCAAGGCGTGACAAGTGGACGGCCCACTTTCGCCACGTTGGCTCGACGTTCCCTAATTAACGCGCGGGGCCTAATTATAGAATTACAAACGGCTGTTCGACGTCGCCTGCCAATAATCGGAAACCGGGAATCAACCTGATTCAGCGGACGCCGGGAATCACCTTCAGCGTGGCGGACAAAGGCGTCCGAGGATGACAGTATCGCAGCCTTGACCCAAAAGCTCGCGCTTCCCAGCCCAATTCCTGGGCTTAATGGTTATTTCGTTTGGAAACTTTGTCGCCGAAAACAGCCAGAATCTCTGCCTTCGATCAACTAACAGTCGAGTGAATCCTGACTGCTTCCGTTTCTATTACCAATTACGTTTTATGACTCCGGAACTTGGCCATCCTTCGTACCCCAGTATCCGACTGAAATTCTGTTTACTACTGGAGATGGGTGTAATTCATTGGCAGAGCTCCGGGTCATCGGGAGCCGAATTATATCTTAATAATCATTTCCCTCTGAATAATATTTAATGGGACACAGTTTGAGCTTTCCTAGTCTTAATTAGCCCTAGTTTCGAATTAGTAACTTAGCTGTATCTAGGATATTTTATAAGTGGAAGATACGTAGGATATATATTCATCGGAGATTATTTTCGACGCACCCTGTATGTGACATCGGTTAGAGTGGGCGTCCATTTGTCTTGCAGTTGCCGCATGAAAACAAGCGGCGACTGAGAGTCGCCTCTAGAGCGCAAGGGTTAAATCTTTAATCCGGCTAGCGAAGGGATGAAAGAAAAATCGAAGCGTCTTGCTCGATACCCTATATCCGGCAAGCTATTACCTTACACGAAAAAATCCTTTTACTTACACGCGAGCACGATAGCGGTGCAGCTCGGAGCTTCAAATCCCAGAGGACCGAGCGCGAATCACAGAACGTCTACGGTCTCGTGCTCCTTGAACAACCACCCCTGCGATCTAAATCTCCGCGTAAAACGAGACTCCGGCGCTCCGAGAGAGTACGTGCCGCATTTTCGCCGGGTTCTGGCAAATGTCAAAGTTCAGTACACACCGGTTTAGCTGATCGATATTGCTCGGTGTACATTCGGCTGCCGCTGGAGCGCTTTGATACCCGATTGTCTTTCCGTTGCTGCGAGACGGGCGCATGGACATCGTTTGACCTTCGACAGGGATCTTCCACGGGATTTTCATCGGTCGCGAGGATACCTCGCCACGCCCAAAGCACGCGTAGGCCGAAGCAAGCCGGGCCGAAAGGGTAAAGGGCGCGTGCAGCCTGGAATTCCAGCGACCGCCGCCAGGAAATCAATTACGGGCCTTTAAATCCCACGTCGACCGGCTTCCTATCGATCCCCGCCACCCACGCAAATATCCTCCACCGCCCTGCATCTGCTTATGAAAATCCCGCCACCGAGCTATTATCGAGCCGGAGTATCAACCGACCCGCTGCGACCGTTTTTATCTCGCTTCCGTAAAATGCAGCCGAGGCTACACGGCACATTATAGTAATAGGGGCTGAATCTTGGTTAGGGGAAAATGCAGCTGTTGTTTCGCCGCTTTAAGAAGGGGGATGTTAAGCGTTTTAACGCGGTGCGACCAGTGCTTGCGTCCGATTAATCGCATGACCTATTTCTTCTCTTCGTCGCGGCAATAATTTGCTCGGTAATATCAATTTCAGAAATCGAGGCCCGTTTCTACGACTCTACGTTACGCGTGATCGCTTCAGCGGAGCGGTTTCGTCTTGAGCGTGACCCGTCTGGATCCCTGGCGAAGCTCGCCCAGCCTCGTAGCCGTGGACCGCGAGAGGGTCAACGCATCGCGTTCCGCGGAAGCGTATCGTTTGAAAGAAACGGCGCGAGCGAGCAAACGAGCGAACAGGTACGAGAGCGCGAGGCAACGGAACGGCCCCGATCTTGGCTGGCTGGCAAGGACGAGGTCGCGAGCGCGGCCTAATCGCGTTCGCGGATGTACTCGTAGCCGGCACGGAGCTCTGCAAAAGGGGGTTGTATGCAGCATAGTGCAGGCGCACCCCCGGGCCGCGCGTTATATAGATAATACACGGACGCGAGAGGCATCGCGCGACGGGGAACGGAGCGAGGAGCAAGACGAGCGGAGACACGAGGAAAGAAAGAGAAGAAAGAGCGCGGAAAATACATACAGGGAGTGCGAGAGAGTCGACAGAGGGACCGAGAGGAAAATAGAAAAGAGTGGGTGGTTACTGGTGCCGGGTCGTGAAACGGGCCGCACAGCGGGACTGGGAGGGTTGCGAGGATTCGCTTCCGTGTCCCAGTAGCACTAATGACCGCCATCCTCCCCTCCTTCCGTTCACTGCTCCCCACCATCGCGCCCTTGCACTCTGTCCCCACCGCGCGACCCGCTATCCCCACTCTCGGCCAGCGCCACCGTCGCTTCTCCGTCGTCTCCCCTCCAGTCGCGACACGTACATCCAGGATGACTCGAGTTACGTCATAGCGCCTAGAGCGTGCGACCTCCCCTCCACGTTTCGCGACTCGCTTCCCGTCTCGCTTCCCGCCACGCCGCGTCAACTCGTTCGCTCTCCCTCCCCCTCGAATGGATCTCGGTCCCACCATCGCGAGCCGTAGTACTCCCCGACCGTCCCGATCGACCCCTCCACGACCCGCGTTGAGGATCCAGCAGCGCGGCGTATACACACGCTACGAGTACGCTATATATCTTTCCACTATAGCGGCCAGCACTCGGCGAGACCGTGGGGGACCCGGCAGTCTCCGCTGGTACACCGAGCAGTGTGTTACCGTTCCTCGCTTGTTGTATCACGTTCTCGCCGTAATCAGCGTCGACGCGCGTCCGATCTGACAGACCTGTAGTCGCGGCGGCACGTCGTCGTTACACACGCGCGCATCCTACATGTATATATACACGAGCCCATATATATATACGTAGAGGGCAGAGAGGGAGAGATATACACACTGGTGACCCAACAGCGTTCACGCCACCAACCCCTGACACGCACACGAACGCATATACGAAGCCCGTGCACACACCACCCGCCGGCACACGCAACCCTCGCGCGCAAACGGACCATCATCGGCAGATCATCGGGAGATCATCGGGAGATCATCGGGAACAGTAGAGGATCGCACGGAAGGAGGATAAAAGAGGGATAAAGGACGCGGGTGTTGGAGCAGTGCGAGGACGGAATCGCGTAATCGGGCACGCGCGATCGCGACGGAGTGAAAAGGGATACGGGACGGGAGAGATACACGCGGTGCGAGCAGGTGCACGATCCTGCGTTTCGTACCCGGACCTTCGTCATCGAGGAGTAACACGTGCAGGTGTGTATCCGAACGCGCGGCACGTGTGCGGTGCACGCTCGTCGCGCTGCGTACCCGTCTACGTCTACCGATCTCTCTCTGTTTGTGTGCGTGTGTCTGTGTGTGTGTGCGTGTGCGTGTGCGTGTGTGGCTGCGTGTGCTTGCTTTAGGCGGTCGTAGCGGCGGAAGAAGCCAAAACTGGCGTCGCAGACAGGTAGGCGAGACGAGACCGATCCGAGCGGAAATCGAGAGTCGACGTGTCGCGACGCGAGTGTTCGCCGATGGTCTCGTTGTCAGTGATGCCTCTTCGCTGAGGTTCGAACGGTATCGTCCAAGTACGCGACGAGACAGCCGTGGCGAGTGAGTGTGCCTCTTTAAAGACGCGAGTTGCACGCTTCTCCCGCGAGAACACGCTGAAAGGGGTCGCCGCGTAAGCGCTGGGGGGTGAACTCGCAGTGAAACCGGAAACGGTCGTCCAGACCGTGAGCAATTGTTCCAGGAACACCTAGTGAAACGGTAATTAGAGTGGATAAACATGAAGTATTCGAGGCAATTTGCACATGGCGGACCTGGTGGCCCCGATTCGGGGTAGGACCTCTTTGGTCCATCCAGTTTGGATACATCGGATCAAACCGAGGATCTTTCTTTACGTTTTGGTGACACGTTCTGTGAGCTTCTCCACGCGACTGTCTAACGTAGTGCTTTATTTTCCCATTTCTTGCTCAATTCCATAGATAAACCACACATTTATCGGTCTCCTCTTTGTTCTGTTCGTCGTGCAATACAGCTGTTCTTCGTTCGTGCAACCTTACTCGTGAGATTTCTTCAGTGACATGGAGACGACAATAAGGACGCATCTATCCGGGGTACTCTTAGGTTCAGAGGGAACAAGCTGTCACTCGAAGTGCTTCGGGACTCGTTTGATAGCGATCTCTAGGCAATTAGAATCACGTGATGTTCCAACCCGAATCTTCTCCCGAATTCTATTCGAAATATAGTCGTCGATCACGGAAACACGGGTACGGTATCGTATGACCGAAATGAAAATTTAGAGAGGGTTGATTCTTCATCTCGAGGACTCTTGGTTCGCTATTCTTCGTTTCTTTTCCGTTTCAAAAATTCTTTCCTGTCAGAGCGTGATCTACGTTCTTAACGAAGGTCTGCCCGGACATGGGACCATGGAAATCCGTTGAGAAGGATTATTTACCGACGAAACCATTCAGCTTTCAAGGGGAACAAAGCCAAGGGGAATTTTCCATCCTCGTACGCGTCTCACCCTTTCGCATTAAGCGGCTCGTAAATATTGACTTACGGTCGAGTAGGCGTGAAGATCGGTTCGTCATTTGTGCTCCACGAGTGGCTCCGTTGACAGCTGTAATTTGTATCGTGTGCAGTTTACATTGTTCGCGAGTAAACCGTTCCTCGGTGCCTGCATAACCGTGCGGCTTTAAATCAATGTACACCACGTAACGTTATTGATAAAAGGGGTACGTACATATGTATCACGTTGCACGACAGTTGAGTATATAACCGAATGCATGAGCCAGTATTTCCTCCTTTTTCGACCGGTATCTGCACCTCGAGCTTCGAGAATCGTGCAACACGCCGCGACCGAATTTTCCATCTTTCTCGACATTTCCGCGAAATTTATGAAATTTATATTTATTCGTTCGCTCGGGGTTCGGTAAAGAGTTTAAATTTGGAGATAAATATTGGCTCACGCGTGGGTTTTCGCGTTCGAAAATGTTTATCTTCCAATTTTTTCCTTTTTCTTCTTATAAGGCGAAACGAGTGGCAGGTTTTTGCAAATTTGGAACGATTTTCTCGCGATAATTCTCGCAGCAGTGTCGGGGGACTTACAGGATTAAATATATGGCGTCGAGATTGGTTAGTTGCGTGACTTCTATTTATGCACTGAGAATTTAATTTAATTCAGGGTTGTAAATATTATGCAACCCTGTGCAAATTGTATAACAGTTTTGATCGATAAGAATATCGGAAACACGGTGTTCTACTCGGTTTCTCCCTGTTTTCTTCCATCCAGTGCATACATTATAACGAATTACGACTTTTTTCACTTTTTTCCCGTTTTCATTCTCGAATATTTAACACGCTCTACACGCGTTTACATGTGACGACTATGCGAGCCAACTATCGTGACCATTTCACGTGATCGATAGTTGTAAATATTTTTCGCGAAACAGGACGTAGTGGGAAGTCGAATCGATGTGGAAACTCCCGCGCCGGATTAAGCGGTGCATACTCCATTCACGTTTTCATTTCAATTTAATTTCAATTTCTGCCTTCCGAAAAACAAACGATTACAGGAGCTCCACTTAATAGATCCATTCCCGAAACTAGCAAGCTGCGGGATAACTCACGAATTTTGCAACAGGGTCACAAATGAACCCACAGCAGTACGCACCGCGGAGCAGTGTAATCATCCATCACGCGATTCAAACTCGACACGTTGGCTTTCAACGCTAATCGTGACATCGTCGATCTCACCCCTTGCACGCCCGTTTACGTACGAGTTTTATTTGATCGTCTGCGATTTTGATGGAAACTGCAAGGTTGCGAGACAGATAAATCTACGGGCAGATGCATGCAAACAGTACGTAAATAAATAGCTCGCTGTGAGACGAGAAATTGTTTAAACAACGGTCAAACTTTCACTCTCGCTACCTTTCGACTGTCACTTTCGTCGAGAGACAACTTCGCGTCCGAAATTTGCAAAAATATAGAAATATTTTTCCAGTAATTCGTAAATAAATACCACGCTGTGATGTATAATAAATAATAAATTAACCCCCTTATCGGACGCCAGGCTTTCATACGCGAATCTCACTGGGTTATAGCTGGTTTCAGTAAATATGCGAAAAATTTCCGTCTTGTCACGTGAGAGGTCTCTCACGTGATGTACAATAGTAGTGACAAAGTACTGTTGTCACGTGAGAGGTGAGCAATAAGGGTTAATTGCATGTGGCGCCATAAAAGGTTCATTTGCCTTTAAATTATTATAGGAGTTTCATTCGATGACCACGTGTCTCTCGTGAAACATTATTCCCCAGTTAGGTATCCCCAGGATACGCGACTTCGATCATATTCCCCCATTTCTCGCCTTCCCAGTATCCCCAACACGCAAAACGTGTCACTCGACCCGGTCCCGAGCAGAGTACTCCTGCCGCGGCAACTGCGAGAACGGGTCGTGGTCGCGGGATTTGGCATTCGGCGCGATTCAGCGTGGCAGGTGTTGTAACTGGCCCAGATTCCGGCTCGTTTACCAATAGACCAACTCGCTTAAATATATCGGCCAGCTGCGCGACCGATGTCGCAACATCGGGGACCGCGGAATCCTTGCGAATCGATATCGCGATCGGCCGGATCGATAGCCGAAACAAGCCAGCCAGCCTGCCAGCCAGCCCCCGTTGCGAAACGAAATGGAAAGTCGATCTCCGTTTGCATCTTTCGGCAATAGAATGCAATCTACCGGCGTGGATCTACCGCGCGGGGCCGCCAATTAAGTTTGCAAAACGCCTCGCGTGTATCCCGCGATTCGGCCCCCCGACTTCGCTCAAGAAAGGACCGGAGGAGTCTCCTCGGGTCGGAGTCGATCGCGTTCGCGATCCTTCCGTCGATTATTCATCCGGTGCGATTTATGGCCCAACGATTACGCGAACTCGCGTGCTCGTCTCTGCCCCGATGCTTTTCTTTTCGCGGCCGCGAGCTGTTTAATGAAGCGTGTAAATAAAAAGACAGACACGCCGCGTGAAAGTTCCTGTCACTTGACGATTCTTACCTACGAATGAGTCGGGATGATTCGAATTTCGTCGGAGTAAGAGGTTATGGAGGATCTTAGATGATTTCCCTGAGTTGAGGAATTCGAGATTTTTGAGGTAACTTCCATTTCCTATTTTTATTTTTATTTTTATTTTCCCCGTGGATGGGGAGGTATAAGGCATTGACAGTTGCGTGGTTCCAGTCTGTAGGAGACTAAATAGTGTCAAATTTCCGGCTGAGAAAATTGGGTATTTAGAAATTTGGAGTATGTTTGGTTAATTAGGAAGCTTTGTGCGTACTTATTTTCTCGTTTCGAAGGAAACAAAGGTGTTATAATTTTCACAGAACGATTGACACAGGATGAGTGACAGAATGATAAGATTTTGTAGGACATTCTGGAAGTTCATAAAGCTGCGTCTGTTTTCTCATTGGTCGATCGCAATACCGTGAAGACGACTGTTAATTTATTTTGCTAGCGATCACAGAGTGTCCCTAATTACGAGCATTACTGATAAACCGAGGGCGGGAAATTTAAATTCCCCAACACTAGGGGTTAATTCCACTTTGAGTCCACTTTCAGTTCGCCAATTCGACTGATTTATAGCTTCTATTTTCTTCGTCTTCATCGATGAAGATAAAGCTATAATAAGTAATAAATTACGAATCATCGATGCTTCTACATAATGGCACCACGTTGTATATCGACATTAATTCCCCGCGCAATTAATAATTACAGGAATATCCGCGTTTCTCGAGCCTCGCCCCGTATACTTACAGCAAAGGTGCAATTTGCGAGAATCTCGAGTCACGTTATAAACGTTCGAGTCAAACCCAGCGACGTAATCGTTCGATCAATCTACCAATGATATACACTTCGGTGCAGCAGAATTCCCAATGATTTTTCCAACGACAGATTTTTCCGCAGCAACGAAGAAATGGCGGACGGCGAATTCTTCTCGAGGCATTAGTAGCCATGGCAACGATTTAACTTCCGTAATTTTCTGTTTATTACTCGCTGAGTTATTACGTTATCAAGGCGGGGATATGGCGCGTTATTTAACACGTCCACGTGCAGCATTTAAATAGGGGATTTAAATGCTTGGCTCGTTTCGGGTGCTCGGCCGTTTCAGGCACTCCGATCACGGTGGCGAGTTGTAAAGGATAATTTGAAATGCGATTAAATTCGAGGGAAAATATCGGTTTATTTGCGACGCACGCGCGTAATTTACGCCGCGTGTAAT